TGCTTCCACTTATTCTGCAAATTAAATCACATACGAAACCAGTTTGCGTGGACTTGGTCCACATTTATTATTACTTTCCTTTACAATCAGTGGGAGAGGCTGCTTTTCCTACTCTTTTTTTTTAAAGATTTTATTTATTTATTTGACAGAGAGAGAGATAGCGAGAGGCTGCTTTTCCAGTCCTGATTTTGTTTCAAGAGCTTTTTTAAATCATGCAAACCACCTCTAGTTGTTTTGCTTTGGATATGAATGTAAATCATTACCAATGGTAAGATTCATCCATGTATTAGAAATGACACTTTCTGCAACAATTGGCTGTAAGCACAATAAAAAGGAGGTAAGTATTTATTTAATGTCGCACTAAATTAGTTTGATCTTTACCCCTAGTCATTTCCTTTTGGAATGATTGTTAGGCTCCTGCAAAATCCAACTGTTAACCACACTGGGATCTAAAATAGCAGGAAGTTTAAATCACTTTGAGCTTAGAAATCAAGAGGCAGTGTCTTTTAATTCTATTTCATGGTGAATTCTAAGATCTCAATTCTTCCATCCCTTCACTACTGTACTTCAACCAAATTTATACAGCCAAACCCTGAAGGAACATCCTGTAATTTTCATTATATTTACAAATACAAAAAAACTCTTTAAATTGTATACTGTAAATGCAGTGTGTGACAATTTTGATGCTGTGTGAGGCACAATATTACATGGTGGCGAAGGGCACAGATTCTGATTAATACATAGAAGTTACTGGAAACAATGCCTGGGATAGAGTAAGCACTATCTAAGTGTCTGCTATTATTTTCTGTTTCAAAGGAAATGAGTCCCTGGTGTCCCCCGTGTCCCCCTTTCATGCTGTGCCACATGCATTTATGTCCTCAACTTACCCCATCACCCTACTCCAAGAAATGTTATGACTTATAACATCTGGTCTACAGTGAAAGTGAAATTTAAAAAAAAAGAAAAAAATCAAGGCTTCCTAGCCAACTTTCCTTGAGAAGAGCTTGTCCTGAGGAGTATTCATGGTTCCTGGAGATAGGATTTGAATTTTTCTTCTGCAAGTCAGCTAAGTGGATTATAGTGCTCTGGATCATGGACTAACTGACTCCAAATGGTTGGTTTGACTCTGCAGTCTTTGGTGGACTTTGGGATGTGATGCAACAAGTACCAGCAGCTCATCCAAATGCCTATCAAACGATATGCTGATGGAAAGCTTTTCTGGTTCCACATTTTAAACTAAGTGAAAACCCAACCTACCAGGATTGACAGTACTTCAGAAAGTTAAAGTGTGTTTCTAAAATACCTTGTGGATGTCACATGATTTCAAAGCTGCAAAAACATACAGGGTCCAAGCACCTAACTTATATAATTGAACTCTATCATTATTCTAAATACAACTATCATAGTTTTTTTAAAAACAAAACAACTATCATCCAGATTGTGAATAAGGAAATAATGCAGTTGTTTATAGTCAAACAAATTCAAGTGCTTTTAATGTTTTGTAAAATACTGCTATCAGGGAAATGTTTTAATTAGCAAATTTCTTTATCCAGAGGCTACAGATAATGCCATTTGGTATGTTTTTCTTGGTATCATTTTTAGACAATCATCATTGCCTCTTACCGCTGCCTCTATTAGGCAGTTCCCAATTTACAGAATAGTTGAACTCCTAAGTGTAAAATTAATACACCAGATCACCTCTCCTCCCCTTTTACACTTTTAAGGTCATAAAGGGCGTTTAAACAAATGAAGGCACTTTGTATCCTATACATAATCCATAGCGCTTTGTGTGGCTATAAGCCTGACGCAAGTGCTGCCAGAAAGCTGTTTTCAAAACACATCCCTAGAGCTGAGGACATCTTATGTTTGTGCCGCCCAGCACCCATGTACCCTTTAATGATAACATCACATCCTGGTTTTCCTCTGTGGATTCACCCCTTCCCTATTCTCAAGCTATGTGGGTTTAGTTAGAATTGGCCCCACCGCCAGGTTCGGCATGGGTCTTGATTACCTTAAGATGATCAGTGTATTTATCCCCTAACCCCAACTTCCATTGGCCATTCTGATTGGTTCAAGGATGGACACATTAACCAACTGGAGCCAATGAGACTCAGAAGGGCCTTTGCTGGGCATTCTGCGAAGAAGGAAAAAACAAAGTTCTCCAACTCTCCTATGGGAGCAACCAAAAAAGAACCTCTCTCTTTCCTTAGAATGAGTGGTAGGAGAAGGTGAGGTCTGGGGGGAGTGTGGCAGCCATGTTGCTAAGAAAAGAGGAGAGCCTGAGGCCACTGGGGGCGGAGTGGGGGCAGGGAGGGTCCACCCCACCATGTGGGGCCTTAAGTAGAAGACAACACTGCAGAAGCCAGCCTGTTTTCAGCTAGAGCTGGAAAGACCTGAACCATGGGACCACAGTGTGAACTTTTTGATCAAGCTTTATCAGAACCAGTCACAACTCTGGACTTTCAGTTACCTAGTCAGTACATTTCCTTTAATGTTTGTCAGTCTGGGTTGCATTTTCTGTGACTTGCAACATAAAGAGCCCTAAATAATGCAGGCAAAATAGCCTAGACTGGATAGGAACATTTGGGCTCCACAACTAGTACTCCCAAGAGCACCACGGTGCTACCTCAACCATGATGGAGGGTGGGAAGAAAATGAGCCAAGTCCAGGCTCAGTAAAACGGGTGAGAAATTCAAGGATGGCTTCCGTGGTGATGCCCGGGAGGAGAATTAAAAGAAGAAGCCAGAGACACAGTGTGGGTCTTAGGAGTTCCTGCTCAGGCATCCCAGAGAGGAGAGTCTGAGTTGGCATCACCGTCTTCAGCAACCGCTAAATAGTAACCAGGTATTTGGGAATTAGAGGCTGTCTGGTTCTTCCAATTGTTTGGTAAAGTAATTATGAAAAGATTTCTAGTTAATAGAAGAAATTGGTTGTTAATGGGAACTATTCTTTATCTTAAAAAAAGTGCTTATTTTCAATGCAGACAAAATACATTTACGCAAAAAAAAAAAGACATGAAAATAAGTGTCTCTCAGGTTATTCTAATCAGTGGATGCTAAAGATTGATAAACCACTCTTTTAAATAAGTACTATATTTATTCAATTGTCATTTCTGAGTTTTTCATTTATAAATAATATATTTTTGTTAAACTTTAAGGGTCACAATTAAATGTTTTGCCTTGAATTTAATAATAGGCAGGCCTGAGATATTTTCCATGGGTTGGCTGTTTTTCACAAATTATTGCTCTGCCTTGGTAAATAAAATGGAAAGGCAATAGAATGAGACCTGTGGGCAAGAAAACATTTCTTTAGCTTACTATGAGAAAAAGAAAATTCTTTCTTTGTCCTTTCTGAATTTAGAAATTTTTCCTACATAATACTGAAATGTTTAACAATTCATAAAAAACATAAGCGTCTACATTTAAACACAGCCTTAAATGTAGCCGTGTAATTTTTAAACAGGAACCTTGTAAAATATGATGAATATACATGCATGAATACTCAACTTAGAAAGACCATTCAACATTCACATGGAAAGGCAGCATTACATACAATATAATAAATATCCAGGATATCAACTCCACAAATTGATCATTATTTTGATTTAGATTCTTTTATCCGTTAACACTTTTACTGCATAATTTATTATAATAACCTTACAAGTTAAACATAACTAATTAAAAGCAGAACTGAACTAATCTGCTGAAATAACACAATTCTCAAGATTTTGCAGCATATTTTAATCTGCAACATGTAAAACTGTCATTTTGACAAGAAAAACACATCCATATAACTAACTACTCAACTTCTTTTTCAACGTTTAAAAAAAAAGGGTTAATAGTATGAAAAGAAACAGAAGCTAATCATATTTCTGAGATAATTTTATTGCCTTAGCTCTTGGGCTTTGGCAATAAATGTCTTAAGTTTTCATATATATCATATAACTTAAATACTGTATTTACAAAATATATAACTTTTTTTTAGCAAAATACTATACAAAATAGTGTCTTTACACATTTAAAGGGTGCTTTCCCTTACAATGTATGAGAGCCCTTTATGTTTTTACCTTTAATTTTCCCACCTGCTTTCAAGATCCCTATCTTCCCCATTATTTCCAAGCTAAGGTTTTAATAGTAGAAATTGGTCTACCATTAAAGAATGAAGCCAACTACACTATATGTTAGCTAACTTAAATTTTAAAAAAATGAAGTCAAAGATAAAAAGATTGCTGTATATCTGAAATTTTTCTAGATAAATTCTCCTAGTTCAAAGGCACTTAAAATCCAAACCATACATTTTACTTTTTAATGTTTAGATTCTTCCCTTTTGTCACTAAACATCTCTAGCGAACACTTTATAGGGATACTGTATCACTTATGAAAATTCTTTTTAATTGCTTTCCTTTTAAAAGGCATGAAAGGGTAAGTAAGCCCCCACCACTTCTGTTACTTTTCAGCGTCTGTTTCTATGTACAAACAGTATGATTTCTTCATCTAAAATACTGAGAGAATAAATGAGATCATGTTTACTGTTCCTTGCTGCTAGAAGAGGTGTCTTTTAAAAACGCCTAATGTTCACCCACTGTGGGAAACAGAATGCCAGAGATCTCGGAGTCTGAGCACCCACCACAATTGAGTTCCATAGCTGAGTTCCATAGTCCAGGGTCTTATCCTGAGTACGGACCGGGTCTCCCTGCGTGAAGGCTGCTTCCTGTTCTTTCTTGTTTAGGAGACAGATTATCTTCCTGGTGTGTCAATATATATTTCTAAACCACCAAAAGATGAACCCAAACCTTGTCAACTCTGGCATCCCCCCAAAATCCACATGCTCCGTGTGCGATTGTATATCCACCAGGTAAAGGGGGCTCAGCGAGCGGCAGGAGGGTCTGGGGCTTCTGAGGCCGGGGTCGGCTTCCCCAACCCTGCAGGGTGAGAGGCACCCTCTGGGTGACACTCCCTCGGCTGTAACTGAGCAGCGTTGCTCAACGCAGGATGGAGGGCCTACTTGCAAGTGTGGACGTCAGTCATGCTTTCACACCTCCTGCAGCGAACGTAGCAGCACCAGATAAACTTGCACTCGCACCTCTCCACGTGCCTGACCACGTGGGTGTTGTAGCCTCGGCCACAGCAAAGGAGGTTGCAGCCGTCCGCGCCCTCTGACGTGCGGTTGCATTCTCTGCCTTGAGTCCCCGGGATCCCTAGTTTCTTATCCTCGACACAGTAATTGGGAGACTTGTTAACGTAGAGCAGATCATCCTTGCGAATCGGTATTTTCCTCTGATCTTTGTCTCTCCTGCGCATTTTCCTCTTTATTTTGTCTGAAATTTGGACACTGTTTTCATATTTATCCTTCAACAAGTGGCCAATCTTCTCGAAAGAAGACATGGTTTTCCAGCACGTTTTCACAGCGCACGAGCCGGAAACTCCGTGACAGCGGCAGTCTACCGACATCAACTTGGCGACAGCCTGAAACCAACGTAATGGTATTAAATGTCATTCATGAAGGGTTTTTACCCAACAAATGAAGCACGACTGACCTCATCACTTCACTTTCTGGGTCTGTTCAGTCCTGCATAAAAATGACAGCTTTGAGCGTAAAGGCTCTTCACAGTTGCTTTAGGGTTCAAGTGTTTTGTTCTTCTCTTGACCCTGCAGAGCAAACGTTTCCAAGTCTAACTGAAGGTGGTGGACCAGACTAATATTGATATCGGGGGTTATCGGAGGCGACAGAGGGAAACTACTTTTATTTCTATTTCTTTGCTTAGTTTTGGGTGTGAGGATGTTCACGCCGTATCTCCGTGTTCCTGACACCAATCACCTTGCTACTCAAGAGTATGTGCTTCATGGACCAGCAGCACCGACATCACTCGTGAGAAATGCAGACTCTCAGGCCCCACTCCAGATCCACAGCATTGGAATTTGCATCTTAGTAAAACTTAGTAAGACTAGAACACTGGTTATTTGTAAAGTTCCCCAGATGTTTCTATGCACTTGTGCGCCCAGGACACCTGCCCTCTCAGTGCTTCTCAAATCTTAATGTGCATACTAGTCACCTGAGATTCTGATTTAATTGGTTGAGGTGGGGTCCAGGCAGTGGCACTTCTACAAAGCTGCTCAGATGACTCTAATGGGCATCCAAGCATGAGATCTGTGGAACTGAGAGCTCTCACGTTTGATCACTTAGGTTCACGTGGGCATGGGGGGGACCATGTTATCCTTTGGTCACAGACCACATGAGAAACCCTGACTAATCAACTTAACTTGGTCAAAAGGAAAAGGGGCTGGAGTGTGTGGTTGCTCCCAGCACATTCTTCCCCCCTTCTGGAAAATTAATCCGAAACATATGTCCTATTCTTGATGGATCAGTAGCACCATCCTAACGTAGAAAAGGGATAATATATGTATGTAATTTTCAATTCAAAGTGCTGAGTTTGTTTTATTCAGACTGAGGAATTAAATGAAATTACATATATCTGTAAGAGCCCTCTGCCTGGCACATACTAGAGTCTAAATAAATGCCCCCTTCCCTGAAGAAGAGGGTACAGGAAGAGTTGAGAGAAAATTTTAAAAAGGGGCTAACAGTGCAAAGGCAATATAGAGATTTCAAGAATTTCAGGGTTCTGATCTCTTACACACCAGGCTAGTCAGCACAGCTTCCTTCAATCCCCAGAGGATGGCAGAGCAGATTAATAAATCGCCAGGACTAACTCTAGCGTTGACGTTCTGTCAACATGCTGGGTAAAATGACAAATTGATCTGTCCATTCAATAACTTGGAAATTATGTGTGTAATCTCACCAAAGGAAGGAAGAACCTCACAGCTTAAATTCCACTTACGCTTCTTATCAAAACTATAAAATGACAGGGGTTTATGCTTTGCTATTTTATACTAAACCTGACACTGACATGTTTGTGGAATGTTATGTTTCCTAACAAATTAAAGTTTCTGAACTATCTAATGAGACAGAATATTTTGGACAATTTATAGTATTTGCAACCTTGAGTGAGAGCATATGGTATTGATTTGTGCCAATATTTGATACTTCTTATTAGTGTTTAAAATAATAAACAGAATAATATTTAAAGCCTGTCCTTTATAGAATAGAGCACATATACTCTGTGAATTCACAAAACCGAGAAGCAAGCAGCTATGTCTATTTCTTATTAACTCAGGGCAAAAGACACCTCTCAATGATATGAAAGCAATTTATAAAGTATGGCACACACAAAAAAATCAAGTATGGCACAAAAGCTTATTTAAGCTTAAATTTATGGCATTTGATATTCACAAAGACTTCAATTCTTCCAAATGTCTCCGGGCAAATGAATGTTCAAATAAATGCATTCTGCCTACTTTTGTTCAGATTTTAAAGGCTCGAAGGATATGAGAAAAAGAGAGCTCAGTTAATCCTAGGTAATAACAAAACAAATTGTCCAAAGAAAGCCTAAAATCGAAGAATGTCTGTTTATGTATTTAAACCTGATCAACATTCCTCACAGTCATCACTTAATGATTTAAAGCTCCCTTTCGCTAAGGATCTTACTGAGCGGCCAACTTTTTCTTTCATTAACCAGTTCAGACATCACGTACAGTGTTGCCAATTTGCAAAGCATGGAAGACAGAGTAGATGCTCACCAAATACTTACAGAATAGTTAGTCCAGCTCACTGGAATAAGTTTTAACTCATTCTCTGTTTTATGAATCGGAAGGAAGAACTGAAAACCGCCTTTAGCAAAAGAATCACTGCCAGGAGAGTCAATGATATGGGGAGACCTTGATCCTGCTGGGTTCTCCTCCCATTCCTCAGTCCACAGCAGTGTTAGTCCACAGAGTGACACATTACTTCACAGGTTTGAAGGATAAAAAGGGAGACTGATTTTCGAATCTAATGATACCACCTGCTGAGTGTGTATCGGAATTAGGGGAAAATTTTCCTGCCATAGGAAAACTAGAATCTTTTAAATACCTGGAGTTGATTATAATTTTTCAGGGATGATATTTTAAAGTTTTATTCTATTACCTTTCAATTCCATTATCTTTTTGTCCTTAACAATAAGTATAAAAATAGCATTTTTATCATCTATATATTTTATATTTTATCATAGATATTTTATATATATTTTTACCACATATATTTTCATATATATAGTCTAGGATAGAAAGACAAATACACTTCAAGGAAAGGAATTCCAATAACTTGACATGCAATTTAAATGATTATAGCCCCAAAAAACTCTAAGGAAGAAACTTGGACAAATAGGGATTAAAATAAAGCAATGTAATTACCACTAGGAGAATCTGATGAAATGCAGAGTTCAAGGGCAGATCACACACACACACACACACCATGGTTTAACTGCAGAACTTAGTGTTTCTCAGAGCACCTTTTCATAAATTATTTTACTTGATTTAGTTTATGGGAAGAAATGCCTTGCACACAGTAGGTCGTTAATGAACACGTACTTACATATTATTCTAATTTTACCAACAAATAAACAGCATGGTTAAGACACTTGCCTTGTTTCAGGAATGGCAACATATGATATAAAGTCTTTATATCCAGCAGGGGAATTTTAGTAGACCAGAGAAAAATGAGAGTGGAAAATGGAGTATATTTAAGGAAATTGCACGAACCCTCCACAAAAAAGTATATTCTGGAGCTTTTTAGCTAGGATTCTTAATTAATGTCAAACAGCCGTTCTGAGCTGCCGTGATAGCAGCCTTTTCCTGCTAACAGGAAAAGTAAAAGGATAGCATCCGTCTGAGTAGCATGTGGTTATGAGAAAATTCTTTTCTCTACTCTAGTTGAGTTGTTAGGGTTTATAACGATATTAACAGAGGAATGTTTTGTGAACTATTGCAAACAGATGTGCACATTTTGGTGGAATATTTTTAAACTATGGAAGAGCAATTAAGAGGGTAGCATTTAATTTACTGGGCTCTTTGTGTTAAGTTTTGGTTTGATAAACTTTAATGAACTGAAATAGGAAAGATGTATCATTAATACTTAATGTAAAAATAGAAACTGCTTGAAAAGTGGGCTGTGGAGTGACTGGTCCCACTATTTTGACTCCGAGGTAACCCCAGCGGGAAATGATTGTTTCCCAGTATACTGCTTTATCCAAACTTTACAGAAATGATCCCAAAACTGTTGTGGAACATTTTGTTACAAGCATTTCATTTTGTCAACTATCAGATGATCTGGTTAAGTTTTTAGGAAAACTGTGACATAAGGTTGGATGGTTATATGTAGAATTCCTATTCCTCTGGCCCATTTTGTCTCTTTCAGTCCAAAAATATATTTGAACCTGCTAAAAGGCAAAACACTTATGTGTTGTTCAAGTACTTATAAATATTCTTGAAACAGGTCAATGAACATTTGGGGTTGGGCCCCTCCCACTTTTTTGAGTTACTCATCATAAAACAAATTATGGGGTAGGGAAACTTAAAAGTTTATGAGGTGGACATGGGAAGAATGGAAATATTTTAAGCACACCAAAAGAAATACCCATAAATATTCCAAGTCACATTATTCCCAGAAGTTCTGCCCCTGGAAGACATCACATCATTCTGTTAGCCAATCACCGTTCAGCAACATTATTCTTGGAGTCATAACTTTAGGAATGGTGTCAGAAACCAAGTGGGAATCAGAGTACTTAAGGTCAGCGGTTAGAAAATCATCTATCCTGCTCACAGCACTACTAAGCGCCAGTACCCACATTTCTCTGAACACTTTCCTACATTTTGAGTTGGGATTTTGAGACCAGGAAAATCAACTCAATTGAATGCAGACCTTGAACTTTACCCAGAAGAATATGCCTCTAGATTAAAATCCTAATTGCCAATCTTAAAAATGAAGTTGGTTGTTCTTCCATGTTGGATAACAGCCTGCAGACTTGGTTGGTTTTTGTTCTTGCTGTGGTGCTGGTGGTGGTGGGTTTTTTTTTTTTTTTTTTGGCCACCAGTGGAAAGAAAAATACAAAAATGTTTGAGTTGTAATACTTCCTGAAAAAAGACCAACAAAAACACCAGTCCAGGTAATATTCTGTAATATTTTAAGATTCCATCTAGACCAATGAGGAACAAAAAGATTCCATAGAGAGAACTCTGAAATTTACACAAACTGTATATATATGTATAGGCCGAATTGTTTGCTGCATAATTAGAATAATGGCAGAAATCCTGGTAATGTGAGAAGATTGTTTTTTTGCCAACAAGCACAGTGGATTAAAATTGATGCTAAACAGTTGTATGTTTTTAATAAACTCAGAATATAAATAATAGTTTAAGATCAAATAGTTACAGAGGCAAATATTGCTACCTAATTTGAAACAACACTCAAGACAGAGTAAAACTAACTAGCTGCCTAATGATATTAATAAAAATATAGTTAGAATTCTTCTGAGCTTCTCACAAGTTTGGGGATAACCTTTATTCAAGGAAACTAATTATGACATGAATTTCCAAGTTCTGTTTTCCAGTTCAATATTCATCTACTTTTTTTGTTTTTTTTTAAAAATATATTAATTTGACTTATTTTAGTGTTTTTCTTTTTAACTCCAGAGTTTTAAAGAACATATATTAAAAAATGTAAACATCTATTTAACCCTCTTTTATATGTTAGAAATAATTTTAAAAATTCTTTATTGGATAATATTTAAACTGAAGCAGAACCCCATTCATTGAATTTTTTACAAGCAGAATTTTAAGGAGAAGAGACACGTGCATAACTATGGTGTTAAACAAAAGTTACTTTAGTGTCATCAGTTAAATTTTAAAATTTCTAAACAAAAATATGAAAAGCCTACCTTGCTATTTACTGCCTTTCCTACTTTCTATTTTGCTATTTTAAATCAATATTCAAATTGAATTGAAAGTTCAAATTGGAATTTGAAGTGTTATGGTGATAATAACATTTACTGAGTTTTCTGTTTTTGTATTATAAACCAGTGTGGTTAAGCAGAGGAAGCTGGCTGACACTTGCACCTATTCTAAGTGGGTTCCATTTATTCACTTTCCAAAAATGTAAAACAAACTCAACAGATATTTTAAATATTCCTGACAGATACTGCAACTTGTTTTAATTTATTTCAGGAGATTGTGGCAGATTGCAATGACTACTTTGGGACTCTTACAGGTTATTGGATATTTACAATAATATAGGACATGTGCTGATATTCCTGTCCTGAAAAGATTATTACAACATAGAAAATGTATATTCATAAAAAAGTTTTGACTGTTTTAGGAAAATCACTATGAATCGCCAAGTAATTCAGCTATGCTGTAGAGCTCAAACTTTACTGTGTCAATATTCATTAAAATAAATATTAAAAGGTAAATTAAGCTACAGATTTATTCCATTTTAAGAAAACTTAGTATGAAAAACCAGAATTCATAAAAGAGGTTAATTAGATGGTGGTTCTTCAAATTTGTCTACCCCCAATCTTTAATATATATATTTAAATATCCATACATTTAATATAGCTAGAGCTTCTTTACAATTATCTGCATTTATCATTTTTACAATGTATCTATCATTTTGTAATAAAATAACTAATTATCTTTAAAAAAACCTTTGCTTTACCAAAATGTTAGTTAAGAGTTATGTATTCAAGAATGTTTGCCAGAGACTGTAAGGACATATCGATAACATGTTTAGGAGCCATTGCCCACTAAAAAGAGATTTAAAAAAAATCAAAATTCAAATTTGAGATGGACTTGGATTCAGTCCCATTAGAAAGGCAGATACTATAGATCTTATTCTGGCTCTATCACTAACCAGTTCAGGGGATGGAACAAAATGAACCAAAAGGCATGTGTACATCTGTTATTTCATAATTAGTGTTCTGGGTGTACAAAGTACATTCTATAATAAGATTTAACGCATATCAGATGGAGAACTGAAGTGAAATCAATGTAGAAGATATTCATATATAATAAACCCATATATAATACATATGTATGACATATACATTTCTTAGACTGCAAGTGTATGTTTTTTTAAATCATTTGGACAGATTCATTCAGAAGTGTAATCCCAGTGTTTTTTACTTAAAGGCACTAGATTTCATCCCATTTTCTAATACATACATACCTGCCTTCCAGCTTCGTTGTTGTGTAGATTCATTGCTAACAGTACTTTGCTTTCTTTTCCTGTGCTGTTTCTGACGGGGAAATCTAGGAACTTCCTGCTGAACCACATGCCATACTGGACATCATCCGAGCAGCCCCCCCAGTGCCAGCCTTCGCTGGCGGAGCCGCCACTCTGCAAGCTGGTGTCGCAGGAGCACTCGGTCATGTTGCCTGCACTGCAGGACCTGGTCACAGAATGCACCAGGCCTGCAGCCATCACAGCATAAATAAACGCTGTTTCCTTGGTGCCTAGAACAAAACACACATTGCTGAATGGAAGAGTCTGTTTATGTTCATAACAAAGCTTCCTGCTCATCCTCTTCACAGGGAAGCGATTTTTCAACAGCTTTCAATGGATGCTTGAATGAGTACATATTCAGGAAGGACAGTTTCACATTGTTTTAGTCTTTCACAAAAGCAACATTAATTTTCAGTATCTCACTTGGGGGGATTTTTATATATTGTGTATCAAGTCAGCTGTTTGTTTTTAAAATTTGACATGTATGCCAGCACCTAGCTCAGTGCTTAATAGACAAGTTCAATAAATATGTGTTGAATTTAAAATCCTTTGCATGGATACAGCAAATGGTAATACAATGTCCCAAAGAGTCCAGATTACCTTTCTTTTTAAATTTCAAATGTGTTCTCGTGAAACACACGCTGAAATATTTGGTGTGATTCTTGTTTGTATAAATAATACATGTTGGAATGCAAATCAGAATTAAGCAAAGGCCAAAGCAATCAGGAGATGTTACAGTTTACTTTCATATCAAAGACTGGTCTTCTTTTTAAAGTATATTATAAATAACAATCACAAGTATTAATATGAAACAGTTCAATATTTTATATAGTACTAGCTAATCCTCTTACAGGCTGAAAGAGAATGAAAAATTGAAATGTCACCAGAAAAAGAAAAAGAATTGTTATAGAAAACTATTGAATATCTATTTAGCACACCCGCAATAAAGTTTGAGCTAAACTCTTCGCAAATTAAAGTCCCATTAAAACGTCAGTAAAATGGACTAGAAGAGACTCAGCAGGTGACCTTTTTTCTTTTGAGATGTTAAGATTGGAGTACAGCTGCATGCCCATTGTCCCATAAACCTTTTCAACAGCTGATGTCTCTGCGTTTCAGCAACTGAAACTTTTCTTCTTCTTTTTCTCCTCCTCCCCCGCCTTTTTCTTCTCCTTCTCCCCCTCCTCCTTCTTCTCTCCTTTCCTTCTTCTTCCTCCTTCTGTTTTGCCTTCTTCACTTCTTTTTTCTTCCGCGGGGGTCAGGGCTCCCTCGGAAGGGCGTGCCGCCCAAAACTCAGCGGGGCAAACGCAATGCTTTGGCGGCGGTGTGTGTAGGGACCCGGCGGAGAAGGGTCAAAGGAGGAGGGAGAACGGAAACGAAGGTGAAAAACAACAACGAATCTTTCGGCGCCCAGGTTCCAAAATTCTCTGAAACTGCTGATATTCCTAGAACAATCCTGGGTCCCCTGTGCCTTTATCCCCACCGAGTCAACTAGGCACGTGGAAGTGGAACTTTGTTTTACGGCAGCTTCCCGCGCCGCGGGTGTGCTCCGAGGAGGGAAAGAAGGAAAAGAGAACCGAGGGGAGAGCCAAAGCCGTCGTGCTCGGGTTTGCCGCACGTTGAGTTGTCCAGGACACTCCCTTTAAAAATCATCATTATTCTGTCTAGCCCGCGCTCCGAGGTGCCAACAAACGTGGGGCTTCGCTGCAATTAGCCCCTTGTCCAGGGCTCGGTGCGCAGCAGAGCTGCTTAAATCAAAGCAGATGCGGCCGCAGCATTCCCTGCTGCCGACATCATGTTTCTCCAGCTGGTCACCCACGTAGGGGGGCGCTACGGGGTCCGAGGGGTCGGCGGGGTGGAGTGTCAGAGTTTTTCTGCAGCTCCCGCTGGGCGCCGCGGGAAGAAGGAAGAGCTACAGCTCCTAGCGCCCCGCTCGGGACCTGGGGAGTCACCCCCCTCCGGGACCGCACCTGCACCCGGGTCTGGCTTGTGTCACCCCCAATTCTCGTCCACTAAAGGACCTCTTTTGGGATTTAGAGAGCGACGGACCACGCAAGCGCTACTTTATTTACTGTATTTGCAGGAGTTGTCGCCCTCCATCCCGCGCCATCCCGGAGGGTCCCGGGACTTACCGCTGCTCAGCTCGTAACCAAAAAGGGGGCTGGTGCCCGGCGGGGCGGCGGTGACCAGGCAGTTCCACCTCTCGTGCCTGAACTGGCTCCTGCACTCCTGAATGCCCAGCCGCGCGCCCTCTCCGATGCTCGGCAGCAGGTACGGTTTCCTCTTGCACAGCTCCTTCTGGCGGCTGTTCAGCGGCAAGTTGGCGCAGCCCAGCTTCTCCGGAACCCCAAAGGAGGCGATGCCCAACCACCTGTAAGACACCGCCGCCCCTAGCGTGAGCCGCTCCCCAGCTCTCCTCTCCAATCCCAGAGGTTTTGCCGAAAATTGGGTCATCCGCCCTAGGATCCCCTGTCCTGCTCCCCGGCTTCAGCTGAATGTTCCCTGAGGCTGGGCACCCCTTTTGCCACAACCCCCGTGCGCCCCTGCTGCCCGCATACTCACATCCAATTTCCCTGGGCTCCGCAGGGGAACAGCGCGAGCAGGGCTGCCCACAGCGCGCACAGGCGCGACAGTCCCAGAAGCGCCGCTCTGTCCATCGCCCCCGCATGGAGTCCTCCAGCCCCAGCCACTCCTCTTCTGCCCTCCCTGCCCAAGGGCCCGCCAAGCCAGAGGTCAGTTCCCCAGCACCAAGTTGTCCCTCGCCCTCTTTCTCCCTGCAGACAACATAAAAAGAAGGCCAGCGGTGGTGGGGGCTCTCGGCAGCCTTCCCCTGGCTTGCAGGGAGCAGTGAGAGGAGGTGGAGAAAGTAGCCTGGGGCCCTCCTCCTGCGGCGAGCCGGAGGTGTGCAGGAGGTGCGGGAGCGTCCCTCGCAGGAATAGGTGAGAAACTTCTGTGGATGTAGCTCTGCCTCCATCGCCCCCGGCCTCTCCTCCCATCTCCTCCCCCCTGGCCGCGCCTGGAGCCTGATTGGCCCAGCCTCAGCCCCGCATCTCATCATCCCCGGACCTCAGGCTCCCATTGGCTGCGAGCGGGCTCCGCGGGGGGCGCTCGGGCCCGCTGCTCCCGGACGGCGCGTCCCGACCCGGGTGTGTTCTTGACCTTTCCTCCTGTCACCGTCTTCCGCGAGCCGGCCTCTGCGGGAGGGGTATTGATTCAACCCGAAGACTGCTGGGGCCGCTTCTGTCTTAGCAACCCTGGGGGAAGGCGTGGGTCGAATGGGAGACGTTTGAGTTCCACCCACCCCCCTCGCGTTTGGATTAATTACCCTCTGGGTGGAGTGGCTGGAAAATCTCACTGCCCCTGTTCCTTTCCTCTCCTTCACCTCACCGGAGAGGAATCGTTTTGAGTCAGAGTTGGTACCAAACAAGTTGACCTTTCAACACTCTGCTTGAGGTCCCAATGTGTCAGGAGACTGGAGACGGGTGAAATGCTGTCAGGCTTGAGGTTGTCATCGTTTAAATAGACAGCTATTTATAGCGAAAGAGAAGGTTCTGGCCTAGTATCTAAACTACCATATTTAAATTGTGTTACGTGATTTCGTTTTCCCGGTTTGTCTTATTTTCTGCAGTCTTTGAGAGCATTGTCAGAAGGTGGAGGGCAGAGAGAGAGTGCGTGAGAGAGCTTCCGGAGCGCTTTTGAAGAGGTGAGGCTTGTGTCCTTACCCTTATCTCCAGTCCATATTGGTGGCTCACGTGCAGACCTTGGACAGGGCTACTCACTGAAGACACGTTAAAAAAACTTACTTATTAACTGCCTAAGTGTGCCCTGTACTAGGGGGAACTTTATACAGACAATATCCCTTCTCTCAAGTTCACAAATCAACCACAGAGACAAGTCTAAAAGAAAAGAATTTGAGATTTCAGTGAAGGAGAGTATAGGATCCAGTGAGGTACTCTCTGGAGCCAAAGTTCAGAAGCCAGAGACTACACGGTGGCTGGCAGTTTAGGAAGGTTAGGCACCCGGTGTTTTTCAGGATAGAAGATCTCTGGGAGAACTGTGAAGGTGAGCCCGGTGTGCTGAGCTGTGGTATCAGAAAGCCCTGCTTCACCTTGTCGGTGACAAGACACATTTCTGAGAGGCATCACCTGCTCCCTAGAGGACTTCCGAAATGGTAGTAAATTCTCAGGGTAGACATACCAGCTTCGTGGGTGCCAGAATCCAGACTTAGTCAAATAAAAGATTGGCTCTGCTTGCTTTATCCTCAAATAAAGGATTTTATTTGCTCCATATCTCCTATAGGAGCCCAGAGCACTGGGAACTCAACTGAAGTTCCCATCCCATCCCATTCATTCTTTTAGCCAACAAATATTTGTTGAGTGAACACTGTGTACCAGGTCCTAAAGCCACATTGTAATTTTTAGAGAGTCAAGTTGATGATAGGGTGTAGTTACTGATCCAGAAATATTTTGGCTAATGGCTAGTGGGCTCTCTCAAAATCAGAGCCTCCATCCAAGCTCACTTATTCTGTGAGCCTCTCCAGGGGCGATCGCGGAGCAAGTCTCTGCTGTATCCCCGCCATTGGGCCCAGTGCATGAAATCTTGGTTTTGAACACAATTTATTGAGTGGATTAACATGATGAGGAATGCCCTGGACACATACCTAAATGGGCTAAATGATGAAACAGGAGAAGTGACTTCCTTTTCAGGGGGATGGGGGAGGGAAGAACATTAATACTTAGGGATTATTGTGTCCATACCTCTAAAGCAAAGGATACTTATTTCTAGGAGTTGATAGAGTTGAAGAAATACACTTTTCATTCAATGAACAGACATTTGAGTGCCTTTTTTTTTTTTCTGCTAGGCATTGTGAACCCTCAGGCACTGAGAGCCTCTCAAGTGCCTCCAGCATTCCATCTCTTTCTCTCTCTCTCCACACAGAATTTCAACTCCACCCCCCACACTGGTACTCATTTTATAGATTAAAAAAATGAATTTATAGAGGTTAAACACTTGCTCAAGGTCACTCAGCTAGTAAGTAGTAGAGTCGAAATTCACTCTTATTTTAGAGGCCTTGTTCTTTCCACCACAACATACTGCTGCATAACCTGATTCACAACCTTTTTTTTTTTTTTTTTTTCCTGATTAAACCCCACATCACTGGGCCTCAGGATCTAAATGTAAATTTCTCTTTTGTGTCCCATGGTTCTTTACATCACGGTTCACAGATATCTCCATCGAAAGAGTTGTTCTGTTCTCTGAAGATAAACAAACCCCACAGTAGGTCTCCATGAAGTGGGTCTCACTGAGGCAAATGTCAGTCTCCATGGACTTCCTGCCCTTTTTCCCTTCTTCCCTATCTGGTTTCTGTGGGCTGGGAGGAGCCCTGTGGGCGGCAATGGGTGAGTTGGGTGGTTGAGGTGCCCGCCGGTCAACCAGTTATAATCTTAGGCAATTAATGTCACCATTGAGCTTCAGTTTTCTCACCTTTAAGATGACAATAAATTCTTTTTGAGATCTCACTCTCCTACTGCAGTTCCAGTAGGGCCGGAGGGAGGGAGGCAGGGCGTGTGTGTGTGTGTGTGTGTGTGTGTGTGTGGTAATGGGGGGAAGTGACTGCATTTGCTAGTGGATTTACCCTCCCACGAGGAAAAAACCTCAGTCATCGACAAGGGCATGTCTACCTGAGTGATGACCCAGTTTCCAGGGTGGCACAGGCTAGAGTTTTTTGGCCCCCATCTTGCATCTTCAGTTCTAATTTTGCTTCTGGCTTTCAGTGAAAATGAATTCTTTTAATTGCAGAAATCTTTTTAAATGGTTGAACTTGAAAATACATTATAATCTGGTCAGGTCATATGAAATTTTATTTCAAGGATAAAGGAAGTTACAGATATTTTATTTATTCTGGAATAGGAAAGTGAGGAGTTCTTTCATAATCTAATTTATATCTCCAATATAAAGTGGTTCATCTGTACTAGCATGAGTAAGGTTTATACTATTTAGAGAGAAATAACGTAAACGGTGTGTCAAATCTGAACATATACATAACGGCACATTTCAAATTGTTAATTTTTTAAGTAGCAGGCAGGAGCCTGTTTCCTATTTATTATTTTCAATTTTGTAATTTGAAGGGAGGACAAAATATTACCTGGCCAATAGAATATGACCTGATGGTTTACTGTGTTTTGCAAGGTTTCCAAGCTTCAGGTACCCATATCTATAAAATGTTGCGAAGATCATACCATTCATCCTTCGTAAATACCACCTTGTACTATGTCATCTCATGATCTGATCCCAGCTACGAGAATCTGATCAATGCTAAGAAAAGCATCATGGGACTCCAAGTACGCACAGGTTACTGGAGCATCTATAGCTTCTTGATTCCACAAGGAGAATGTGTATTTGAACCCGTTTTCCTAGCAGGGGTAAGGAGTTTTGAGCTGTATTCTGAAAAAGGCTATTTAGGAGGGGGAAAGCCAGATCTCAAGCACATTCATTTACTCAAAAGAGCTCTCTCGAGGGACTGAATCTGTCGTGACCAGAGTCATCTTTGACCAGCTGGGTCAACTGATAAGTACTTGGCTGGCAATAAATCCGACTGCCCACTCAGGACAATTGTAGATTATTAGTTGTAGAACCCAGAGGAGTCTGTTCTTTCTGGTAGTTTTCTCTCCGTCCCTGGGAAACTCAGCAAAAAAGTCTGCCTGCACAGATATGCCTTGGACTCTGCCACTGGCAATCCATCAGAGAACGAGACTTCTAAGGGCCCTGTTGTAAGAATTTCTGCTGCAGATCACAGAGACTTACATACTGGAAACTGATACCAGAAGCACCCCAGCTGGTCTTAACTCCCGTGATAGAACAGAAGACCAGAGGTGACTTTTTACATAACTGGGTCCCCATCCATTCTATTTTAAATTTCACCTGGAGGCGACCAGTGTGTGGAACAGAGCACAGGCTTGTGACTACTGGCTCTCAGGCGGGGGCGGAGAATGGCATTCTGGGTGTCCTGTTGTCCTTTGGTGGCCTGAAAAGCCAGTAAGAATGACGGGCTTGGAACAGCAGAGCTGACACCAGTGGCAGAACCAGGAGAAAGAGCAGGAGTTGAAAAAGGGATGCTGTCTTGCTGTTTGAATCTCCCCAAGTATGAAAGCGAACACTTTTTGTCTACTTGTCCTAAAAAAATTAAGGCTGGAGAAGTGGCCTAGTGTTAATGGTATGGATTATGCCGTCGTTTTGGAATGAGGGATTAAAAGTAAAACATCATCCCTGACAAACGAGAGAGAGAGAGCGAGAGAGAGAGAGCGAGAGAGAGCGCGCGCGAGCGGGAGAGAGCGAGAGAGGGCGCGCGCACGAGCGCATGCGCAGTGACTATTGCCTGAGGGCACAGGTGAGCAAAACAAGCAAAACCAAAAGACTTGGAGAATGTTGATTCGCTCAATCTCTCTTTTCAAAAAAATTCTTTTTTGAATTTTGTAAAACAAAGCAACTCAACGAGCGAATTATCATTGATTTTAATAAGTTACCAGGAAAACTACTTCATAAATCCGGAGTTTACATTTTTTAGAGTACTATTGATAGAGCGATCACTGGGCTGTCTATAATGGAAAACACAAATTGTCTCTTTTTTTCCATTTTAGTAAAATTGAGCAACCTTAAA